AACCCAATATACTTTCCCAGGCAATGAGAAAATTTCAGTTCCAATAAAGTATTCAGCTAGTGTAGTGATTTATTTGTGATTGAGTTACTCAGTGATCCTTGAAAAAACTGAAAGGCTTCACTAAGCAAATGAAAACTTGAATAGATAGGAGATTGTAAGTACTGTATGAGCAGCCTAGGAATTTAGCTTATTCTAAAATATTACAGCTGTTTAATATCAGTAGGGGGTTGTTTGCATTGGGAAGCTATTATAAAATAAACAAGGGTGTGAATTTAAAGTGCAATAGGTATTCTACACTTGTTCCCCATGTGGATGCTTTAATTTTGCATAAAGGCTTTGCCTACACTGCAGCTGGGAGTGTGCATCCCAGCTCAGATAGACAGATATGCACTAGCTCTGCTCAATCTAGGATGCTAAAAATAAGTCTAGCTGAGGACGGCACAGCTGTGTTGGATTGGACTAGTCATCTGAGTACAAACCTGATTTTCCCTCCCACCTTGCCACCCCCTGCCTCCACCATGTACTAGCCTGTTATACTGCTCGCAATACTGCTATTTTTAGTGATATTTTTGGAGCAGAAGTGTCTGTCAAAGCTTAGAAGCACACTTCCACTTACAGCATAAACATCCTCTAACTGTCCCTTTTTTGTGATTTAGGACATCCCAAGAGTCATTCTGGGCTGTTTCCCTATGTAGGCAAATCCTAAATCCTGTGATTCTTTATCTACTGAGAGTGCTGAGATTGGCAAAAATTTTAAGAAAATGTTGTCAGAAAACAGTATAAATATCACATTTCTCTTCATATGCATGTCATTGTTTGAATAAAGAAGTTTATCAGGACATTAATTTAGACAGACACTTGCATAGCCAATTATCAGTTCATATTTTTAGTTAACACCACCATTGTATATTTTTTCCTTGCTCTTTCCTTCGTGACTCTTAAGTATATCTATAGTTTGAGCTGAAGGTGTTATTGCTAGCACAAGGAGATAACTCCTTCTGATCAAACTTGCATGCTAAAAATGGTTCAAGTAGCAGGATGGGCTAGCCACTCCTGAGTATGTGCCTCGGGTCTTTGTCAGGCATACACTGGAGTGGCCAATCTATCCCACAGCCTATGGCTACATTCTATTCTTAGTGTAATAATTCAGCCAGAACTAGACTTAAATAGCTCGAGGGTGGGAGGTGGTTTCTTTCCAGCTTTGGAAGGTTAATCTGGCCAGGCATACTGTGTTTTAGACTTTTACTTTTGGAGACCACCTGGTTCCCAAGGTAAGGGCCTTAGATTTGTTATTACATGTGCTCCTTGCCTGGGACTTCATTAAAGGAGACCTATATCTTTTTATTCCTAGTTTCTTTTGGCTTCTCATGTTCCTGATCTGTGCAGGTAGGTTGGCTGGCACCCAGCTGAGGGAAGGAAAGGTAGAACTCACCAGCAGTGCCACATCTGGTTAAAAGGGGGACCCACTCCATTAGTTACATGTCAAACACTTACATCCGCAACATAATTTGGAGAATCTAAACAGTGGCTTCATCATAGAGATAACAGAATTTGTATTTAACCTTTGTAAGAAGTTAATGTGATTCATATTGATTAGGACATCATCACAAATGACTAACAAAATGATCACACTATGAACATAGCAGATATTTTAATAAAATAAACATGGAAGTCCTCTAAAAACAGGATATTCAAGTGTATTTTTAAAGTATTGGTTTTACTTCCTAATGGAAGAGTGTTCATCACTACAGATTCAATGAACATTTAAATATTCATTGCTTATTAACGTATGAAGGAATTTCAGGATCTAAATAATCAGATGATGCACAAATGTACTACTTGTTCAAAAAGAGTGATTTTTGTAATAGTTGTACATTGTTGAAAAACAGCAATCTACTGAAAATTGTGATACCAACTCTGATCTGCCAAGAATGAAGGGCTTACCCTCACGAACATTTAGATTGAATGAATGCATGAAGCTGGGATGTCATTCCATGAGGCATTGGCCTGCTGCCTGTTAACTGCCTCTGGGGAGCTTGCTGTTGCACACTAACTATTCATTAGAGTGGGCTTGTCTGTAAGTAAGATCATGTAAATTGAGGATAGTTGTAGTTTGAATCAAAGCAAAGTCCCACCATTTCATTTGTTACCAGTAGTTTCAATTTATTGTTCCCTTTGCAGACATAATGTGATGGATCAGCCACTACTGATGACATGACATAGGAAATTTAGAGTATATGGGAACTTATTTTGGAACTCCAAGACAAAAAGTACATAAATGTGAAATTATGATTGAATACATAAAATATATTACAAAGTTATTATAATTATCTCCTAATCCAAGCATTATTAACCAAGGAAATTCAGAGAGAAGCTTATTTTTTAAAGAAATCCAAAATGTTAAGATATGGAAGTGACATCCTGCAGTAACCATATAATTACGGTGAAGGCACATTCTGCGTGGTGGCAGATTTTGATTTTGAAGACTCATTCAATCTAAAGATGTAAAGGGGTAATAGGATAACTTCTTACCCAGTAATCATCAACCTGCAGTGAGCAGGCCTGGAGCAGAGGGCACAATGTGGTGGGCTCGGCTGGCCTGGCCAGAGCAGCTGGCAGGGTGGGCCTGTTCAAACCAGAGCAGCACCCCCTTTTTGTCACGCTCTGGGTAGGAAGCTGCTCCAGGTAGTCAGGGCCCATCTGCTCTGGCCCAGCCAGGCCCATCGTGTTGCTCCTCAGGAAGGGGGCTGCTCAGTGGTTAAACATATTATTTAACTGGTTAACTTTTTAAATGACAGTTTACATTCATAATATATCTTTTCTCCCTCATGATGACCCTATCCTTTATATGGAGACTTTAGTTCTGTTTCTGATCACAGATTACCTGCTTCCTTTTAAATTAATATGGAATCATAGAACTAGAAGGGAATTGATCTAGTTCAGCCCCCTGCACTAATGGCAGGACTAAGCATTATGTAGATCACCTTTAACAGGTGTTTGGAAATGTTTAAGACCAGGTTAGTAAATGATGGAGATTCCACAATCTCCAAAGGCAATTTATTCCTGTGCTTGATCACTCTGGCAGGAAGTTTTTTATTCATGTACAGCCAAAGCAGCCCTTAGCCAATTGTTCTTGTTCTATTCTTAAAGGCTAACGACAACTATTTACTTCTGTCCTCTTTGGAATCATAGAATCATAGGATTAGAAGAGACTGCAGGAGGTCATTGAGTCCAACCACCGATCCTCCTAACAACCTTTTATGTACTTCACTTCTGCAGACAAAACGAACCCATTTTTTTTAAAAAAAAATTCTCTCATTGTTCATGCTTTCTAAACCTTTCATCATAGTTATTCCTCGTCTCTGGACTTTCCTTAATTTGTTCACGATCCTTGAAATGTAGCACCCAGAACTAGACAGAATACTTCACTTGAGGCCTAATCAGCGCAGAATAGAGAGGAAGAATTACATCTCATGTCTTGCTTAAAGCACTCCTATTAATATAGCCCAGAATTATGTTTGATTTTTGTGTGAAGAGTATTTACTGACATTTAGCTTGCTGATCCACTGTGACATCTGGCTTCCACTATGTGTTATAATTTCTATACAGTCCTTTCCCATTTTGTGTGTGTGCAACAGATTGTTCTTTCCCAAATGAAGTACTTAGGATTTGTCCTTATTGAATGCTACCCTATTTATTTCAGACAATTTTTCCAGTTTCTCCAGATCTTTTTAAGTTTTAATGCTATCTTCCAAAGCACTTGCAAACCCTCCCACGTTGGTGTTGCTGCTATCTTCCAAAGCACTTGCAAACCCTCCCATGTTGGTGTTGCCCGCAAACTTTAGAAGTGTACTCTCTATGCTATTATATACATTATTTATGAAAATATTGAACAAATCCAGACCCAGAAATGATCCCTCTGGGACCCCCTCAATATACCCTTCTGTCTTGAACAGGAAAACCTGTGATAAATACTGCTTACTAATGGTTTTACACCCACTTTATAGTAGCTTCATCTATGTTGCATTTTTCTAGTTCATTTATGAGAAAGTTTTGTGAGATAGTATCAAAAAACTTCTTATGGTCTAAATATACCATACCCTTCACTCTACCCTCCTGCACCCACAAGGCTTCTTACCTTGTCACGAAAAGCTATTAGACTGATTTAACATGATTTGTTCTAGACAAATCCCTGCTGATTCTTACTTATCACCCTTATTACCTTCTAGGTGTTTACACATTGATTACTTAATTATTTACTCTGTTATCTTTCCGGGTACTGAAATGAAGCTGATTGTCCTGTATTTCCCCAGATTTTCCTTATTTCCCTTTTTGTAGATTGGCAATAAAGTATATGATATGTTTTAATAAACCGTGACTGAGAAATACAGGAATTTGTAATAGACAGTGAAACAGTAGTTGAGGGAAATTCCTCTTTAAACCAGTTCCCCTTTTAAAAGTGTTCCAAAATCAAGATACAGTAGGACAGAGTTCTTGAAAAACTTTTGGGGCCAATGGAAATTTTACCATTTATATGATTGCAGTAGGATCAAATCCTACTTCGCTTTGCTTCCTCTAAACCATGGATAAGTCTAAAACATTTCTCAAACAACATGATGTCAGTAATAGTGTATTTGAATCACTTATTGTACTGATTAATAGAACGGATATTTTTTGTTCCTTTCTTTCACCATACACTGTAAAAACTTACTATTTGCATTTGCTCCAACACTTTCTGATGGCACAGTTGTTTCTAAGGCATTTTCCAAAAATCCCTTACACCCTGATGAGATCTTTGAGTAAAATTAGATCTATTTTTGGATTGTGCATGTTCAGTCCATTGCCCAGTAGATTATTTTATGTTAATAGTTTATGTTTCTAAAAACGAGTGATTTCCGTATTCTCATGAATAATTAATTTCCTCTGCAGTTCACAAAAGGTTTTTCACATTTGAGATTTGCTAATTAAATTTTTCCCCTTGTCTTGTTTTTTCCAGCTCTCGTAAATGTGAAACTTTGGGCTATTGATCGGCAATGTTTTCAAACAATAATGATGAGGACAGGCCTCATCAAGCATACTGAGTATATGGAATTTTTAAAAAGGTATGGCACTTGTTTACTTTTTGAAAAATACATTAAAACTCCTGTCCTCACTTACAGCTTTTGGTGAGTGCAGTGTGTTGATTGTCTCCTCTTCTCATCTCTTCTAATTTGTTGTTAAACCACCTGTAAGCCATATCCTACAGAAGAAAGGAGGAACACTGCTAAATGTAGTCTCATTACCATTCATTTCTTCCAATTGTAAGTTATTAGTTTGCAGAATCATTTGCAAAAAGGACCACAGCATAATTGCATCAAACCACAGTTTGCATTTTAAAAGACTGCACAGTTATGAATCCTTCAAAGCTACCTCATTATAAAAAATATGAATCAAAGATATGAATTATAACTTCTCAGTAGAAAAAAATCTAGTTTACATGCTATTTAGGAAATTGTCCAATTTAAAGTGCATTTTTATTCCTTTGTCAAACAGAGACAAAGGCAAGTGAAACTAAGGTTTATTATATAGGTTTCTATGGGATATGGGTCAATTGACTAAGAAAATGGAGTTCTAAAGTGATGTCCTATCTTTCAAACCTGAATTAAATCTTAATAAATTTGACTCCGTTCTGGTAGCCATCTCTCAAAGCATCATAAATCTGCTTTACTTTAGTAATGCATCATGCACCAATAAATAAGTATATTATGACAATGAAAAATAAAGCTAGCCTTATGTTAATAAAATAAGTTTTGAAAGACCAAACCCTGAAGTTCTTTTTTCCAGAAAATACCATTGAAGATTGGCATGAGATGACAGGCCACAACTAAATCACTAAATATTTCATCACATGTTATTCCCAAATACTAACCTTACCCATTAGACTTTAGTGCTACTGAAGCATTTCCTTCCAGTCCTGGTTCCTGTCACTGTGAGTCACATAAAAGGATCTGGCGAGAGAGTGGATGCTATGACTGAGGTGCTGAATAAATACATGGTGGAATCACCATTTCTTTTCTCCCCGTATTTTTGAGTGAATAGGGACTCTTGGATTTGGCCTTTTCCAAAAATAAATAAATTTTATAGTGCTTTCAGAAGTAATCATGATTATTTCAGTGAATTTATTATTAAATTTATTTACAAGGTATTGCCAAATGATAGTAATAGCTCTAAAGACCCTTTTATTTTAAAGCATATTTTGATACGTATTGCAAACAATAAACATTAGTGCAATAAATACTAAATAATATCTCAGCTGAATAGCCATTTTTACATATATCTACCAATATCTATACTACTTGATACTGTGACTGAATAGGGCTTTTTAACATTGAGATCACTAATATTTAGTGTTATACAGTTTTATGTGGTTAGTTTACTTTGTTTCTGACCTACATTTTACTTATTTTTTAAAAAGTATATGAGTATAAAATCAAACAAAATGAATTTACCATTTGTTTCCAAAATACAATGTGCATAGGGGCGAGCTGAATTGATTCTGGAAAATTCTAATTAGGGGTACGTCTAAACTACATGCCTCTGTCGTCAGATGTATGTAGATTTGTTGTTTGGGCAAAGTCAAATGAAGCCGCGAATTAAAAAGCCCTTTGTCGGCAGCCCCGGTAAACCTCATCCCACGAGGAATAACGGGGCTGCTGACAAAGGGCTTTGATGTCGACAGGGGAGCGTCCAGACTAGCGCGCTGAGCAGACACACAGCTGATCAGCTGTGTGTTGGCTCAGCGCAGCAGCCATGTAAATTTAAATGAAACCGCGATCATTTAAATCGCGGCTTCATTTGACTTTTCCTATGTGTCTTATCTACATGCCTCTGACGACAGAGGCATGTAGTCTAGACACAGCCTAGGATTCCAGAAGAAGAGGGGGTCCTGTGGGAGACAATAATATATATTTATGTAGTTAAAGACAGTGTTATAATGTGTGGGGGGTAGGGGGAGGAATTAAGGTGGCACACAGAATGACAAAGACACATACTTGGAGCAGAAAGAGTTCAGTATGTCTTAAGACAAATAGGGATAGCTGTCACAGTGCAAAGGTTGAAGGAATTTGGCAGTTTGTTCAGAGTGTCTCATTTTCACAGTAACTTGAGGTGGGATTGTTCCAAAGGACAGGGACTGATACAGTTGATAATGTAATTAAACTCATGGTGGAAGAGGAGAGATTTTCAGAGACACAGAAGGGTGCTAGGCATCTAACTTCTGAAAGTCACTGGTAGTAAGGCATTTACCTGCCATTTGTGTTTTTGAAAATCTCTCCCTTAGTCATCTTTGATTGTTACTAAGAAAGCAATGAAATGGGCTGAATAACTTCCGAGTAGAGGAAAAAAATATGTAGCAATAAGAGGGAACTGTGAATATACTGGGAGTTGACAGTTTCCCTAGAACAACCTGCAAGACTAGCCAGCAGGTCATTTTACACACATCCCACCCTTAACACACACTTCATTTGTTCTCTTTGTGATTTGGTATGTGGGTAGCTCTAACTACCAACTCTCAAATTACTCAATAACACACTTCTTTTGGAAATTAATTTTCTGAATTTCAAGTCTTTCTATAGTATAGACATCTACAATGTGTCTCAACCTTTTCATTTCTCATATTTCTGTCTTTTCTTTCTACAAACACTGTATCATTCATCTCTTTATTTCAATATGCCTCATGAGAATTTATCTCAAGTAATTCCCATGTATGGTATGTTACCATCTTTTCACAAGATATAGAAAACAAAATATCTAACTTTGTTGTCCCATACTGAAAATGTTTCTAAAATCATTAATCCAGATGTTAAATGTTGCCTTTTTAGTATTACAGGGGATTACAAAAGTAGATGAATGTAAAATCAGTTTTGAAGTTAGGGTGTTTTTGTTCTTTTTTCAAAACAGAGGCGATATACATGTTAAGCTCTTAAGCTTTGAGATTTAACAGTTTTTCAGGAAGATTGTCAAGATTAATTTGGATGCACATTCTACCCAGCTTTAATTTGAAGGCAAATTGTCTGAGACAGAAATTGAGAATAGTTTTCTCATACTATTCCTGAGCTACTTTTTTCAGCCTATTATTGTGTTCACTGAATATTCATTCTTATTAATGGTGATAAAAACATTTAAAATATACTTTTCTTTAAAAGTTGATATTTAGCATTCTTGCAGATATTTTTATATGTTTCTAATTTCTAACATGAGATAATATATTTGACCAAATATCAAATTCATTTCCCATTTTTATCTCAAGCTCAACACAAGTAAAACTCTAGTTTTTCAGGATTTTTTATTTTTAGTGAAACATGCAGAACATTGTGTTTTAAGCTGTAGCAATCTTTATCTTTTTAATGAAGGAAAATTTACTTTAAATCTCCACGATGAAGATATGAAAGGCATCTCACTCTACCATATTCCAAACTTTTTCTTTAGGTAATATTTTCCCTTTTAAACACTATTTTGTCTAGTGGTTGGTCAATGTTTGGAGGCTGGACGGGTTGTTTCCATTAGGTAGAGAAGTTTATTATTCAAGCCAAGTATTTCTTTGGTGCATTAGTATTTATTTACGAAGAATGAACACAAAGTCCAGTTTCCCTGAATACCATAGGAACAAACAAAAGGAGATAGTTTCCCTGTTCAGAAATCCAAGTCTGCCCTTTCCTAAACACAATATGACAAAAGGAATCCTTTCTCTTTCCAGGACAATGCTTACCACTGTTTTTCTTGCTTTCTTCTTACTTTCCCTTGGCTTTCTAGTTGTTGTCTGCCTTCCTGCACATAGCCATAACCCTCAGCCCAAGTCGTTTAGCATCTACTTAACCTTATCATGATGCTGAGGCTTTGGATGGTGGCTTTTATAGTTTCGGCTGTCAGCACGCAAAGGGCATTTTATTTTTTTCTGCCAGTTAGTCTGAATGAAGAGTGTTTAGTAACACCCATCAGCTTTATTGGGGTCTGTGACTGATAGCAACCATTAACATCTCCCAGTATAACAGTAATATGCTATTTAGATAACTTTTAAAAATAGCACATATAGAATGATTTTTCTGCCCATTTGTAAGTCTTATCCTTCTAATCCATAGTAATTAATACATGCTGTTTCCCTAAATTGTGTGCATTGAAGAAGGAGATAATATGAATCCATGCTGTTTTCTATATCACCAGAAAGGAAGTTGATACCAAATTCTTGCCCGATGGAAAAGAGAAAAGCAAGCCAGCATGGAAATAAATGTTACTTATAATCTTGTTTGTGGTGGTGTTAGTCGGAAGAATGATTTGTTAAAATCAGCTACAGAATACATAGGGTTAGGATCAAGAAATTTTATCTCTTTCATAACTGATGGCTATTTATGAAAAATTAGTGTGTGGGGTAATTAGACAGTGAATCGGGTTTTTTTTATCCCTTTGAAGTTGATGGGAGGCGGTTTCTGTTCATTTCAGTGGGAGTACAATGGTTTGATCTTGTAGAACTTGCTCTTTGAGGCTCTTCAGGCCTATATTTGCATGTATGCAAGAGCAAAAATTACATCATTAATTCATTTATAAACTTAAGTGTCCAGCAGTTCATGATATGTTTATATAAATATGCTCAAGGAATGGATTTTCAAAATTGAGGAGCAAGTTCTCCACTTGACTTCAATAGAGCAATAGAAAAGGAACGTTAGTTCGAACCAAGGGGTTTGGTTCGAACTAACGCGTCCCGGCACGCACTTTCACTTTCGAAACAGCTGTTAAGCAGATAACACACCGGCAAGATCACGCTAATGAAGCACGGGATATTTAAATTCCTGCTTTATTAGCAATTTCTGTCGCCTACATCTGTATCCCTAGTTCGAACTACGGAGCAAGTGCAGATGTACCCTTTTGGCCCCAATTTTGCATCTTGTTGTGTGTGATGTCAGAGATCTTTGAAAACTCTGAGTTCAACCCACTGACATCTCAGAATAGAGTCAGGACCAAAGTTCATAACAAATCTAACACATTTAAAATGTAAATAGCAAAAACATTTCATTTTCACTTTAGCAGTTCTGCATATGCAGCAATTATTTCTGCTGTAGCTCTACTGATT